TTATTTTTTATATTTTTTAATTTATTTGTATTTTATAAACAGAGAACGCGGCTTATACCAATAGTTTTTAAATAGCAAACTTAAAGAAGATATAACAGGGCAAAAAGAAATGACGATTGGGATGATATAGGTACTGTGCACAGCCACAGATAAATATGAAAGTAATTCCACTAAGTGGACTCTACTACAAAATATCTCTCTTTTAGTAGAAATGAGAGTATGACAAAAATTGTGGTGTTAAAAAAATTTTTACTCAACTGTTGGTATATTTGGTCTCGAGAAACTAAGATTCTTTTATTTATCTTATTATTCTACTGCTATAAAATTGTTACTGGAATTCTACTAGAACTAGAGTAAATACTTTAAAAGAAGTTACTTAAATTCTTAATCCGATACTGAATACGGAATTTGACCAATTGCCGATCCCATGCAAACGCCTCTGGCCAATTTTCTTCAAAAATATTTCTCGTAACAATAATTCAGTGATTAATCAATAGTACGAATAGTAACAGGATTATTTCACGTGACTCTCTAGAAATCGGCATTTCACTATTTATAATTCTGGCAACTATGCAAAACAGTTGATACCAGGGGCGTTGCCTGGACTTTTTTGTCTGGGCCGTCGACATTATAGAGGTCAGGGCTGAAGAATTTTAAACAAATCTTAAAGTTTGAATTTTAAATAATACTGTCCAAAGGGTTGAAAAATATTTAAAATGGTTAGAAGTATGAACGATTTTATGATCAACTCGAATTTCGGGTTACCCGGTTAACCGAAGCTCCCAAATATATCATAGAGAAGATATTCTGCGAAAGATCGTGTTTCAAAAAAATGTTGGTGGTCAATAATCATGATCTTGGTTTTGTTATAGTTATCCATGGGTCTAAACTTTTTTTGTAAGTTAGTGATTTTCTATGACGAAGTGGCTACAAGAGTAGTGTTCTATGCGAAACACAAGTTAAATATCTTGACATTGTCTAGATTTAGTCATCCTCCCAACCAACTAAAATCTTACTTATTATGAATTATGTATGGACGTTGAATAACTTATATTGTCAAAGAGCTTTGTGTAATGAATAAACCATCTGAATATCGGGACCTGATGTTTTGTGGTTTTTCTATGATGTTTCTTATAATAAGATTTGTTCTATCGTACATTTGCCCTTCACAATTCCAACCTGCTTAGGTGCTATTTTCTAACATATGAAGTTTTCTAGACGACGGTGCAGGATGTAGAAGAGCACTTTACTGGTGTGAGAAGCTAGAGCTAGAGTAGAGCTAGAAGTCTACAGTTATTGTAATTATTTGTTGGAACTTAATTATGTTAAGGTATGATTATAGCCTTTCACCAATTCTCGGGCTAGATATCTGAAGCCAGATCTGATTAGAAATCGATAATATTCTCAGCCCATATTCTGAAAGATGCTTTAAGACGGTAATGCAGTCATAGCCTGCTGCTTTGTTTATCTTAAGTCTTTTCAGAGAAAATTCAACCTCGGAAAATATTATGTTAAGTTTTGATTCAAAGACTGTGTTGTCAATGTCTGTGAGAGGCGTACGAGATGTCGCTGCTGAAGGAAAGTAGAAGGAACTGGCGGCCTTACATTCAGGTCCATACAAGCTTGAGATACAACTTCTTCCTATAGTTGCTCCATATATCTTTTTAGTCATCTTTTAGATCAGTTTTCCACTATATTTTCTTGGATTATGTTGTTTCGCAGAGATTTATTTGCTTCAAATGACATATTTATAACAATTTTCTAAGCTTAATTAGCTTTACTTCTTTATTTTCATTAGTTTCATATTCACAGACGCTTTCGTAAATTCGAAGCTACTGAAACTGCACATTGTTACCACAGATATATCTCGAATTAAACTAAATAAAACCGAGAACTGGAATACTGTTAAATATGTAATAACAAAAAACACCAAATCTGGATACTACAACTAATTCTGTCGAAATATTCCTTTTTATTTAACAGGGGTTTAATTTATCTACTACTTAGTTCAAGTTTGCATCTCTTGAGGATGAATTTTTATACGGATTATTAAAATGCTTATAATTAACTTTGTGTTATATTTGGAAATAATTTGAATATTTAATAGACGCCACAGTGCGTTTATGCCTGTTTTTTACCGCAATATAATAATTTTCTCATGCAAAATTTGTTCAGTGTACTAACAAGTCATTTTGACCACTTAGTATTTTTAATATTGGTTAAGCAAGGAAAGGTGGAAGCAAAAGAGGACCCGGGAGATCTACGACGTACGACCTGTTTGAAAAATTTAAGGTAGTGAAATGGAAAAACAACAAGAGAACCTTTCAAAACTGTTGCAGATATAGTAAAATGGACTGTGATGACCGCCATTGTACTTAAATGATGAGACACACTAGGAGTATTTTTAATATAAGCTTTTTAGTTGTCACAAGATTGAAAAATTAAAGTTTTACTAAAACTTTTGGCATTTAACTTAAGAAAATTGAAGTGTAAGCGTTTATTCTTGAAATTACGAAAACAAGTGTCAGTAAAAATTTCTATAAGACTTAATTTATCATTGTAGTGGAGAGCAAGTAGGATGTTTGTACAGTACAGTACAGTACAGAGTTTGACTCATCCTTTCTTTTGTTAAGCACAATCTGAGTTCGTAGGAAACCTGGGCACCTTCCGGTTACCGGTTTTGATAGTTTTCAGTTCAATCAGTCTCAGTTTTGTTCCAATTTCAAAAAAGCCAAACGCTAATAGTTGCGACCAATTTCGAATGATCAGCTTATTAAGCCAGGTCCTAAAGCTCTTCTTAAAGATAATTCACACAAGAATATAAAACAGATGTGAAAGAGACATTAGCCCCACACAGTTCGGTTTCAGACAAGGATTTGCCACAAGAGAAGCACTTTATAGCTTAACTGTTCTACTTCAGAAATGCAGAGATCAGCAAAAAGATGTTTTTCTATGCTTTATAGATTACCAGAAAACATTCGATTGTGTTAATCATTAAGAATTAGTAAGATTGCTCCGGGAACGTTCGATAGATGAGAATGACCTTAAAATCATAAAGAACCTTTATATGAATAAAGTGGCATCTGTGAGAGTAGGACTTGAATCTACATCATATTTCTCAATCGAAAAAGGTGTACGATAGGGTTGTGTTCTGTCAGCCCTCCTTTTTAATTTTTACTTTGAAACGATTTTCGATACAGCCTTAAGTGACACTGAAGATGGAATCAAAATCAACGGACAGACTATTAGTAATCTTTGCTATGCTTATGATACAGTCATAATAGTTGATAGCCAAGAAGCTACAATGACTAATAGATTGAATAAACACTGAAGGAGAACGACTGAGCTTGAAGATTAATATAGACAAGACAAAGGTAATGCTGGTTAGTAGAACACGAAATATGCAATTAAATATAAGAGTAAACAATAAGAACATCCAAAATGTCCCCAAGTTCAGATATCTCGGTAGTTGGATAACTGAAGATCTAGATCCAGATATAGAGGTACACAGCAGGATTAAGCAAGCCAGAACAGCATTTACTAATATGAGAACTTTGCTAAGCAAAAGTAGCCTTGACTTAACTCTTCGATATCGCTTTGTAAAATGTTAAATTTACTCCATTCTGCTATATGATATAAAAACCTGGATCATAAAGGCCAATATGATAAACCAATTGAAGGCTTTTGAAATGTGGATATTTAGAAGACTACTAAAAGTTATCTGGACAGATCACACGACAAATGTCGAAGTAATAAATCAAATGAACAGAGAACGAGAATTGCTGCCAATAATAAAACGAAGAAAACTGCTTATCTGGGTCATATATTTCGAAATTACAAGTATCAGTACAAAGTTACATAGGGCTTATTTCGGAAGGGAAGATAGAAGGAAAACGGGGCATCGGAAGAAACAAAAACTCATTTCTTAAAAACATAAGGGATTGGACAAACTTCGATGCCCATGCACTCTTTAGAACCACACAAGATCGAGAGGAGTATGCCAGAATTGTCGCCAATATCCACGAATTGGATAGGGCACCATACGAAGAAGTCTCAGTTTTCAGTTTTGATTTTCGGTCTGATCTTCTAAGAAATATATTTTCTCTTGCGAGTAATTTGTCTTCTGTTTGGCGACTGAATTACCCGTTTACTTATATGAGGGCACTTTTAACAAAATATGGAAAAATTTGCAATTTTTTTTATATTTTGAGAACGATTTCCGAAGTGGAAATTGAAACATCAATAAACGTTTTTTATATCTTTTATATTTTGACGAATGGCTGAATAATATTACGATTCTTGGAGCATTGACTCAAATATAATGATGTATTTAAACATTCTACTGTTACAGATTTGTGTAGATCCTATTTTTAATGACGTAAACAATGAAGAAAAACTATTACCGTATCATGAAATCATATGAAAAATTTATTAATAGTTTAAATGCAACAGAGCATCTATAAATACAAAAACGTGTAAAATATTGTCCCCAAAATCTTTCCTAAGGTCCCGCCGCTGATCGAGGTGTTGTGTGTTGTTGTTATTGCCTTTCAGTAGCGAAAGTGGGACGGTCGTTATGTTATACAATATTTCATACCTAATTAAATAATATCGTACATACGTACACTTACTTGTCACACCTGGAAATATATAAATTTGATTTTAATCTGATTTAAGAACGAACAAATCCATATACAGAGTGATCTGGTGTTAAGAACTACATTTCTAACGATGTTGAAGGCTGTTCTAGTGCAACTAGTATTTTATTTTTATTTTTCTTTATAACCGTTCTTATGTTGCTACAATCCGCTAAAGGTACTACACTTTAGTATGTATATGGTACTTTCCAAGTTACTTTTACTTTTTTTTTCGGTGAATTTGGACAATAAATGTCATTTCACATGCTATATCAGATACAGTTTTGGTATATGGGGAATCTTTTTTATTTTGTACTGTTTTTATGTTAAATATTGTACTAATTATTGTTTTTTCTTTTGCAGAAAGCCCGGTGGACCTGAGGTTTAGCAGCCACCACAAGTTTCGGCTAAAATTCGATCTACTGTCGGTGCCAAAAGAAGAACAAATCAAAGCTGCAGAGTTAACCCTAAGTCGACAAAAAATAAAGTGGTTGACGGAAGGATCAGAGGAAAAAAACTACTTTCAAAGGATCCTCGTCAGTGATATCACCCAACGAGGGATTAAAGGCAAGAGAAGTCCCATAACTAGGGTGATAGACAGTATTTTGGTAGACACGAGGAAAAACAGTACCGTGAGTCTAGATGTTTTTCCAGCAGTGCAGCGATGGCTACAGGATCCAAAGGGAAACCATGGCCTTCTAATATCAGTTCGAGGAGCAGGAAAGAGTAAAACCAAACTTCACCATCATATTCGCTTACGCAGAAGCATTCACGACGACGAAAGTAGCTGGAATAATCTCCAGCCTCTTCTTCTCGCTTACACAGACGACGGCAAAAGCAGACCCAGACGCGGTGCGGAGCTGGCACAAATCAAAAGAAGAAGGAGGAATTCTAAGAAGCACAACAGATCCAAAAATGAGAAGAGGTATCCGTGCAACAGACATCAGATGTATGTAGACTTCCGGGACGTAGGCTGGAGCGACTGGATCGTCGCTCCCCCTGGCTACGATGCTTACTACTGTCAAGGTGAATGCAATTTTCCCATACCTTCGCATCTGAACACTACGAATCACGCGATAATTCAGACGCTTATGAACTCAGTGAATCCCCAGAAGGTTCCAAAGGCTTGTTGCGTCCCCACGCATCTTAATCCCATTTCGATGCTTTATCTTGACGAAGACGAAAAGGTGGTTTTAAAAAACTATAAGGAAATGGTTGTAGTGGGGTGTGGCTGTCGGTAGTCGATTTGTTGTGACATAATTTTCCGTAACCGCGTCTGTGATCATTTTGAACTTTTGAGGCTACCGTCTTGCACGAAACAGTTGTTATCCCAGTGAAATGTTTTAGATACCCATGTTTTGCGAGGAATGGGCAAATTCTTATATCAGAATGTAGAATCAAAATATATTTATTTACGTCAAGTTACCTTCTGCTCACTTATGTATATTGTAGTTATAAAGTAGACATTTTTTCTTAAAACTACAACAAATGAATGTGTATTATTAAATAATCATTTTTATTATTGATAAAACCATCTAAATTTTTATCTTAGAGAGTTAGCAAGATCATTGATATTTTGCAATTTTACTGTGCCATTGTGTATTTGTCTGTTTTTCATTTTGTTTTAACTAATAATACAATATAATAGTTGTTTCCATAAATCTGCTAACAGTGCTCAGAAAAAACCCAGCATATAAATTGACTACTTATTTGTCTTCATCAGATGATTTGGAAGTTAATATATGTCAGAATATTGAAAATTATATTAAATATATAGTAAAGGTACTTGACGTTTTTGTTAATTTTTGATAAGAGACTTTGCCCATACCTTGCATTATTGCGCATTTAGGGTTAAACCTATCTTTGTAAAAAATGCGTTGACTATTTTCTATTGTTCATCTGTGATTGTAATTTTAGTTTTTGTTTTTGTAAGATTTGTAATATTCTGTAGTCTAACTAATGTACAGTGGTTTTAGACTATCGAAAAAGTCCACAGTAGAGACGGTTTTAAAAGACTTTAAACTCAATTTATAAGTGTCACCATTTTTAGGTTTAATAGATTTACAAGTGTAACATAAAATACACACAGATTCTGTTCATGAGATTAAGTTGCTTTAGAGCTATATCTCCTAAATCTTCATTTAAATGTATACAATGGTTGGGCTATACGAGCGTGGTCCGATAAGCCTACAAAAGAACAACAACAATTTTTGAAAAATGACGATATATCTCTCGAGATAGTCTTCATTTAGCTCAATATAGCGATGCTCTAACTTCTTTAGCTTATCTGAAAAATACGTTTCCTTTGTAACATCGATGATCTCTTCATCTGCTTAAAATTTCTGCCCGGCGAGTAACTTTTTAAGTTTGAAAACAAAATCTTTAAGTCGCACGGGTCAAAATCTGGAGAATACGGTGGATGAGACAGCAGTTTGAAGCCCAATTCGACCAGTTTGGACGTGACAACGATGAAGGTGTGAGCCGGTTATCATAGTGGAAGAGCATTTTTTTCTTCGATATATCGTTTTTTTTTTAATTAGGTGTTAAATTGGCCCAATAATTTAAAATAGTAGAGTCCTGTGACTGTTTTATTCTTCTGCGGGTACTTGATGTAAATCACATTCAGCAAATCTCCAAAAAATATTGGTCATGGCATTTGCGACCGATAGGACAGTCTTCGTCTTTTTCAAACCACGTTTGCTAGGAAAATTTCAGTGTTTCCACTGTTTCTTGGTCTCTGATGGGTACCGTAAATCTATGCTTCATCGAAAATCACGAAATGATGCAGAAATTCCTTCGCATTGCGCTTAAACAGCGCCAAACACAGCTCTGAAGTGCTCTTATTGTTGCGCTTGTTGTCCGTAGAGAACAACCTTGATTTCCGTCGTACCGACAGTTTTTTCATACTCAAAAGCTCATGCAGGATATGCACCCGTGGTCTTTTGAGATGCTTACTTTCTCAGTTGTCTCGCGCACCTTCAATTGTTCTGCCAATACGAAATCGTGGATTTTTGTTATGTTATCCTCTATGATAGTCGTTTTCGTGGCACCTGGACATTGCTCATCAAAAATCGATGTGGAATCACCTTAAAACTCGTTAAGACAAATTTTGACGGTCGCTATCGAAGGAAAAGCATCAGATCCTACAGAATTCAAGAGCTGTTTGATTTCAAAAATTCTTTCCAAAAACAAGAATCAAATCAACGACACATACTATTCTGTTGACACTTTTCTAAAATCCACAGGCATACCTGATTCGAGTACGATTAGGCTTACATTTTGACATTAGCCATCTACGAGACTATTACGCGATAGTACATTCCTCTTGTAATAGTGGTGCTATCGAGCTGAGAATATTAGTACTTATCGGACCGCTGTCCTATATGCTTTTTTCATACTAGTCATAAATTGTTGATTGTTTCGTGTTCTTAAACCTAAATTGCAAACGCAACCAATAAAATAAATGGTTAGATCGCTCCTTCTTCTCAAGAAGCTGCACTAATCGACAAGTTGACCATTGCTGTAGCATCATTAGGTTTGGTGTAGTCCGAGATATTCTTGAGTGAGGTTGAGATTTTTAAGTTATGTTAGATCTATCTCTAACATTCTTACTGCTTGGGTCAGATCTATGGTTTTTATTAATATATTGTATATGTAGATGACGAGATTTTAAAAACCTAATATTTATAAATAAAAACTTTCAGTATTTTTTAAGATCCGATGATTGTGACTGCAGCTAAAATAACTATCCATACGATTTACTGTAATATACCAACCATATGGTTGGTATATTACAGTAAATCGTATACTAAACTTGTGGTTAATAATTTTGAATTAATTCTTGTACTCTTGCATTTCATCTTGGAAGAAATGTATGATTATATCTATAAATGTAAACCATTGATCTTTTTCGAGATAAAGTCTAATTAAGTGCTTTGGCAGCTATTTTACATAAACGTCTAAAACGACTGTACATACACCAAATTCCACGAGCCTCTTTTTTGTTAACCATGAGATTTATGTCTTACAAGAAATATATCGGGGCCGTGTAATTGTTTTTTTTTGTAACATGTAACCTGAAGTGTACAGGGTAAAATCTAGTGAAATTTAAACTCGTGGTACAGGTAAATGGGGTGGTTAATGAACGTACTTTTGGACTGTCCCCTGTATACTTCGAAGCAATGCAAAAGAGTCAAATGTAATATATTAGTACCTGGATAAGGATATTTATTGAATATTTTATAAAAAGAATGTGCATATTGTACAGAATTGATGTTCGGTCGAAGAAAACGGAGCGTTTGTTAGAATTTTGTTTAGAAACTCAGTTTCCTAATGAATTTTAATATATACCTTTCAAATTTAAATCTAAAACTCTAGATATGTCTGTGTTGACAATTTTTTGTTATGTAAATATCTAATATTCCAATGGATAATATGTAGAAAAAATTTATTTACAAAAGGAAATTTGTTCTGTTTAGACGAGAGTGGGAATGTCACCCGGCAAGTGATATGTTTAACCCATTAATGGTTTAACTGCTTCTTTGAAAAGGTTATTAATTTTTAGTGATTTATTTGAGATTCGATTATACTCTAGCTAGCCAGATTAAAGTATTATGCGACAAACACAAGAGCAGAACAGGACACAGGAAAAACAAAGCAAAAATCAATAAAAATTTAAGTATATAGATCAAAGAGGAGGAGTTTTTGTTTCTAATTTTTTGGTTTTGTTTGACAGCCCATGCATGATAATTTCCTGACCATTCCAGTAATCTTCTTTGCTCATTTCAAGTGCACAAACTTTTGAACCATCTATTTCCATAAATTTAAACCATCTCAGGCTTTACAAGAACTGTCAGTTCCAATTTTTCATTATTTGTTTTTATCTACGGCTCCAAAAATCAGTCTCAGTATCTTTTCTGTCTTCTTGACACTTTACAACATTTACCTCAGAAATCTATTCATTTCTCTTTGCTATATTATCCTTTTTGTTTGTTTCTGTTCTGTTAGGGGGTGCTCATTGAAAAATTTGTGTGCATTTAGCAAAAACTTTTTTTAATGCTTTCTTATGATTCTTTGATATAAAATTTGGTAATATTTCAAGTTTGTTATCAGTTTTCAGCATACAAATCGACATATCGTCTACAAATACCTATTTTTAAGTCCTATATTCTATGATTTCTTATTTTTTAGCTGCCGAAAACAAAATATTTGGCGTTAATCTTTGGAGATCTATCTATTCAATAATTTATCAATAATTAACATTCTTCTTTCGAATTGGATATAAACATGCACAACTGTTTAACACATACAAACATAGAACCTTTACAAAGTGAAAGATTTTAAAAAGCATTATCATACAAATATACTAAATGTTTGATAAATATTGGCCGTTTAAGGGATATTAATTTTTTAGAATCTGTTCTAGCAAATGTTCCGATTTTGTTTGATCGAATGGTAACCCCATATTGTAAATGAAACGAGCAAACACTTATTTGTAAAATTATGTAAGCTTTTGTACAAATTGTATATATTAAAATATTTTATTATGAACCATTGTTTTGATTTTTTTACAACCCTAAAAGTGAATCCTCTACAAAATAAATACATAGATGCTAGGAAAGCTAGTACGAAAGAATGGTCCGATCACCGAAAAATCGCATTAATGAGTCATTTGTTCAAAATGGTTCTTAAAATCATTCACAAACATGACTACAAGAAGTTGGAACTTTCTATTAGTGATACAGTTAGGTATTCAGACAAGAAATTCGGCACTAGACAGACTCTGTTTTTAATGTACTTACTAGGGATGGCGGTTTTTGACAAAACACCGGTTTTCGGTTATACCGTTTTTTTTTGCTTACGGTTTAATCTGGCGGTTATAACCGGCAAAAAAATGGTTTTTGCAAAAACCGGTTTTCGGTTTTTTTTTTGATTCAAATAGGTTACATTTACAATGCACTTTAATTTGCGATACTTCATTCGACTCGATATCAATATGGTCAAAATTAGTACTATCGAATGAACATAAATATCAATATAAATAAAACACAATTTTTAATAAAACCATTTTATTCAAAATTAATTACTATTTAACTGGGAATAAGCCACAATTAAAGGTAAAAATACGTTTATTGACGTTTCAATTTCCACTTCGAAAATCGTTCTCAAAATACAAACAGTAAATTTACTTTGAAAATTAAGGCAAATATATCGAGCACAAGTTTAATCAAATCTTGCCCAAGTACTTTCGCTTAATATAGCATCTTCAGGGGCATTTCGTCAAATATTGACTATCCAGCAAGCGTAGAATGTGATAAACATGGATGTTAACATAACATTGTATAAACACTACACTAGAACAAGTACAAACAGTTTAAAATTAATTAAAATAGTTCTACGTTACATTCTTTGGCGGTAACAGGAGAGAGAATGGTGTTTAACGGAAATGCTAAGGTGACATGTGACATATGACAGCTTTGATGGGTAGTCAAAGTCATGGATATGTGATCTGCACATATTAAAATTCTGTGTAAGTAAACTGACATTGACCAAGGGTCCAACTAAATAAGGTTTAATAATAAAGTTGTA